GTAAAAGTATATTTACATCATGTCCTGAGGGATTAATAAAGGATTGTGATTCTGATTTACAGCTTAAAAAATCCCAACTAAGAACCTTTATTGTTCTGAACTGTTTTTAAAAGGAAGCTGTTCTTTAGTATTCTCAGGGTTACGGTTAGTAAGGCTAATAAGGGTGGAAATTAAAAAGATAGCATGGCTTTTGGATTTTGTTCTCCTCAGTCTTTCTGAAAATATTTCTAATCTTGTTCTGTTAAATTGTCAGTCTGGCTGATTTGTGCCTCTGTAGTGGACTGTGAGGGTAACATTGTCAAGACCTGTTAAAGATTTACACCGGTCATTGTTATTTATTTTCCATCCATTTTGGTGTTTCAGACTGATTATAGTTGTGACATTGAGAGGGGGAGTGTGTGCACTTACCACCAAGGTTGTGTCCACTGTGTCCGAGCAATTCATGCCAGGTAGGCGTGGCATAATCAAGAAAAAATCAAGTTTTTAAAAATATAAAATTGAAATATGGTTTTTTCCTTTTTATTGTGATTTTTGTTTTATTATTTATAGTCCTATCCATGGATCAGGGCAGCAGTGCTGCTATGACAGCACAGGTGCTCTGGTGCTGACTGGAGACTCAGTTGGTGGAAGCACCCCAGACAGGGCTCACGACTGGGGCTCGCCACCCTACATTAAACCCCCACGGGTGCCAGGGTATTCCCACTGGCTTTATGATGTCATGAGCTTCTATTATTGCTGCCTGTGGTCGGACCACTGCCATATATACTTAAAACGTCGACCTTCAAGTGGGTGTCAAAACTACCGACCACCAAGAGCAGGTGAGACGACTCTTCAGTCAAGTCATATGTCTTTATTTAATTCATAGATGGGAATGAAAAGCGGGTATCAAGACCTGATAAAACCTTTTTTATTTGAGTCTTATATCAGAATTATTGACTAGTTAATTTTGTTGTTTAACTTTAGTAAGTAAGTCAGCTATATAAAAATGTGTCTTATACTGCATACTGTAGTAGTAAGTATCTTTTTTTAAAAGTCAAACATCCTCATTTATTGCTAAAATAAATAGGCCCACACTGAGTGTTTGTTAATCTTTATCCAAATACTTCTGTCTTCCTTGAACCTTATAATATATTCTGCAAACGGTCATTAGAGCAGCAGGTTACATAAGATTGGTTTACAGGTAAAGTAAATGAATGACAGAATATTGCTGAGAGTTAAAATGTGAAAAACAAAAAACTGACTCCATCTCATTAGTTTAAAAACAACATCGCAACCTCTATGTTGATATTAGAAAAGCTCTGCGAGAGATGAGAAATAATTATGTTTGTGGGCATCGCTGCTTTTTTCTCAATGCCTCGCAGGTGTCGTCCTCGGGGATCCACATTTCATAACGTTTGACGGTCTCAGGTACACTTTCAATGGCAAAGGAGAATATTACCTTGTGTCGTCACCAGAAAAAGGCCTGAGTGTTCAGGCCAGAACAGAACAGGTGAAACTTAAGAACGGTGAGTCCACGTTTGAGGTGAATGGCCTGTCTGAATCCCCTCTTTGATCCCCATGGTGTGCCTCTGGAATTTGCCCACGCATGCTGACCTTAACATCGCGTGACGCATTCTGTCTTGTTTTGCATGCACTGTTCCTCTTAATTTTTTACACACTGAGAGGAAGCAAACTAAGCCCCTAGTTTAAGAGAATGCACTAGTGCTACAAAATGACAGCCTTGTTTTTGTACTCAGTGCTTCTTAGAGTCAGATGTGTTGAAGAAGAACAGATGTTAGCTTCGCTCGTTAGAATTTTTTCCAAGTCATTATATAAGAGCCATGGGCCAAGTGACTTGGAAAGCCAGATGCCATTAATAGTCCCCTCATTAGATCAATGAAGACAAACATCTGGATTATTTGAAACGGCAGAGACTTAAAGTCAACCTTTATTTCCTTTTTTTTACATTTATATTATTACTCTTGTTACAAATAAGAGTTAGTAAGAGCCAAAATCTAAGGCCCTCCTGAAACGCACCGTGTTTTTTTTTCTACTCATGGCCCTGTCTGATGTCATTAAGAGGGACTGTCCCAAATAGGGTTCTAATATCTTAAACACAGAGTTCTGACTGTGACCACAGGAGCAGAAAAAATTGCTTGTTTCAGGCAGAGGATGAAACGAGTGTTTGTACCGAGACCCAACATAAGATAAACAAGGAGCTGTAAATTATGTTAATAGCATAATAGGTCCCCTTTTATGTTTACTTCAGAGTACATAATGCATATTTAAAATGTAATTATGTCCAAAAACCAGGTACTTTGGCCAAAGCCACACGGCTGTCGTCAGTGGCTATGAAACAGGATGCATCAGATGTCATTGAGGTGCGTGTAGCAGGGGCCCATCTTCAGGTGCTGAGGAACCAAAACATCCTACCATTCACTGAACAGAGATGGATGGACCTGCATGGTGAGGTGCTTTAGATTCTCCTGACTTGGTTAAAGCTCTGATAAAAAATCGTTACACTTTTATTACCCAAAGTTACATCAAAAGAAGGATCTTAATTATTAACAAAGTAACTTTAATAAAATAAAAACTCTGATTTTGGAGGTGATCTTTTGTGACTTCCTGTCATTACTGTGCATTCCTCCAACAGTTTATTCACTGCTTTTTGTTCTCATACTTTTCTCGTGCTTTCTTGCTTACATTTTAAGGTTTGCCTGTTATGTGATGCAAAGCCTGCAGACAGTTATTGTTTAGGATGATAAAACACAAGTTTTTTAAAATTTAAACCATGCCTTGTGTTGCTTTAACTATAGTGGCATCACTATAGTTCAGTACTATTGCAAAACGTGACTTATACATATTTTAGTTGCTCAGTTTTTTGTTTTATTGTTACATTTATTAAACTGGAACCGTTTGTTATAAACTCATGGATGAATCTATGTTTTCTAGGAGTGTATGTGTTCAGCCCCAGTCCTGGGAATGTGACTGTAATCTTTTCCTCCGGTGTCGGCGTGGAGGTTCGTCTGTATGAAGGAACCATGGCAGTGACCGTGCTGCTTCCAGGAGAGTTTTACAACCACACCCAGGGTCTCCTTGGCTCAATGAACTCTGACCTGTCAGATGATCTGACCATCCAACTCGGAGAAGTCATCTCCTCAGCTGATGCCACGTTGGAAGAAATCTTTACCTTTGGAGCCAGCTGTAAGTAAAAGAGCCTGTTGTTTGTGAAACAGCAGAAAATCAATCACATTGAGCAAACGCTGACAACCAGTTATCAATCGAAAACACTAAATATGCTTATGAATCATTTTGTTTTTGCGAGCTCTTTTCTGTGTTTACAAAGGCAAAAGGGATTTAAAGATTTGCTAATAATCCCCACATCAAATGGGTTTTTTCGGCGTTTTAATAAAAGGACTACATATTTGGCTCAATTTATGATAAATGTTTTGAGAGTGCACAGAAGGAGAACATGCATGTTTTAAGTTAGCCTTAATAGATTTTAGAGAGTGAGCAAGTAAAAGCACATAAATTGGTGCTTTTCAATTGTTACAGATCCTTAAAAACTAGTGAACAGCTGACATACAATTAACCGTTTAACTGATTTCATGTGCTGTTTTAACTGAAAAAGACACTCAAAACAAAACGACAGCATGTATTTGACTCCGCTCTGGGTTTTTTACTTGCTTACATATTGTGTACTTCTTTACTTTTCATACCACATTCTAGAAAATAATCAGTTTCATCCAAGGTTTAAAAATAGTTGTTTTTTAATTCAGAGATATGTCCCCTATATGTTACAGATCTTTAGTTTCTCCATTTATAAGCCGTTTTGTTAAGTCCAAACCTAAATGACAGTGTGTATTAATTTCACAAATATACTTGTATGGTTTTTGTTTTTTAACCAATGAAAATATTGTGTGTTTCTGCCCATAGGGAACATTTCAAAGAATTCCTCCCTTTTCACATATGATTCAGAGCACCTTTTGGATATGTATAATATCCCACCGAGCCATGACCCCACTTTTGTTCCAGCTTTTTCTCTACCCGAGAGCCTTGATGACCCTTTGGTGGCAGACATGTTGACGATGTGTTATGGAGAAGGTTCACAGTTTTGTAAATATGATACCCTGACGACTCGGGACCTCACAGTGGGAAATGCCACACTCAAGGCCTACCAGAAACACCAAGCCCTACTGCACGCCCTGAAACCAGGTACCACAGGAAATAAGAGGAAGCCTATTCATATGTAGTTTGTGATTACATGTTTATTCTTACTGTTTCATTTTAAATAAAACTGAGTATCTGAACAACACTGAACACCAGTGTTGTTACGTAGAAAGGATTATACATCGCATTATGCCATAACAAAACCTAATAAGAGAAAATATTAGTTTTGGGAATTTTTTTATAGTCATACGTCTGAAAATAACCCTTTTTAACCTTTTCTTTAATACTTGGCAGAGCACAATGAAATGATAATTTAGTGTGTTATTCTTCCTTAGTGGTGTCTTGTGGCTGGCTTCCCACACCAAGGAATGGGAGGAAGAATGGGACTGATTACCTGGAGGGGAGCACTCTAAGCTTCGCCTGCAACAAAGGCTACATAATGTATGGATCTGCAGAGCGCACCTGTCTGGGTGATGGGACCTGGGCAGGAGATCAGCCCTTCTGTATTACAGGTACGCTCTAAAAGTAAAGCCATAATAAACAAGAAGCTCTCTGAGAACGCAAATCTCTGCTGAGGCAGGGCACTGTGGGCAGTATTCACCTTTAGTCGAATTGAAATTGTTTACATTTCTTGTTTTTATACACACTTTAAGAAGTTTATAATTTAAAATAAATCTAATTTTGATGGATTTTTGACCCCACTCTACACCCCTGCTAAATTTGATCAGATATCATGCAAAACTTTTTGAGCTATCATGTTTACAAACAGATTAATGACACACACACACACACACTACTAAAAGTATATCCTTCTTGGCGGAGGTAATGAATAGCTTTCTGTGTTCAGTAAAATGAGTTCAGCGGATATGAATGTGAGAAAAGCAGCAATAATATGAACACATATGATCCAGTACTATATAACTATATTGCAGACATTATTAATGAAAATCTCTCTTCCAAATGATTCATGAGCTGTCTTTTTAAGACAAACAAGTGTGTTGATGATCTGAACAGAATCTCGTGCATTTGATCAATTTTTTTTTAGTCTTTAAAGATGGGAGATGGTGGATATTTCAAAACAGTTCCCATTGGCAACAGAGTTCAGTACCACATGTCTGAAAAACATTTAGAAAAAAAAGAAGTCTCACTTTCTTTGTGATAGACTCCATATCTCAAACTCTTTGTAACTCCCTGCCGGCTGGGTCTTGTAGCATGATGTATACTGTCATTGGCACTGAAGTATAATATAATTTAGACTGGAGGGGAAAATGTGAACGCTGTAATTTCTCTGTCAGTTTAAACTTACACGTTTCGTGCTCCACAATTGGTAGCAGCTTCCTCTTGAAATTGAGATGACTGGTGAATCTCTTTCTTGTCATGCAGTCTTTTGGACAGCAAAGATTACATAGACTTGGCTCGCGGTTGCTCATGCAGACCTTCAGTAACAAAGCTATAAACGTCTGAACTTGAACGGGCTCGGCTTTGTGTCTGTGAATTAGAACCACCTGGAACCATCTAATGCTTTCATTCATCACCTCGTCTAAGAACTCAAAATGAGTATTGTAGTTTTAAGCTGATGCCATCAGATGGCAGTATTTCCAATTGAATACTCTTAGTGTGGTCAGCACCAGTTCTCCCAGTATGTCAAGATTCGTACAGCATCAGAATTCATTTTGCAGCCTGAAAACCAGAATGTTTTTTTTCTGGTAACTTTAACAGAGTTTTTATTTTCTATGCTCTGAAAAAAAGCCTCACACATATGCACAGCCAAGCTGCTTCCAATTAAAATCATTTTAATAACCTTTTTTTTCTTTTTGTTTTGCCTTTTTTGGCTCTACAGACGTGACAAATGTGTGAGCAACAGTTTATCTCACAATGTTATATTCACGCAGTACGCCCTGTTTGTTTGCATACTGCTTGTAATGCATGTACTTTCTGTAGTATGTGTTCAGTATATTCTTTGTAACATCTGTCGCAGAGTTTATGGAAGTAAAAAGAAAGTGAGCTGGAACGCAGGCCCAGTATAATGTGTTTGTGACAGAGCGGGTTAATGCCTCATTTTGTGGAAATAAATGGTTGATTTTAAGAAAACAACTGGTAATGACATAGTAATTATTTGTATTGCAGTTAAATTAAGATTTGATGAAATGGTGCATCTGAGAAGTGATGAAGCAGAGAATCGAAAGCGCTTAACTTCTGATCCACCTCTGCTTTCGTCCTTTCGTGGCCTCACTCCTGCCCTCCATCCTTTCCTCGTTCTAACCACAAACACAGACTTCCTCTTGATAGTGATCGGGGATAAATGAGCTTCACTGAAAAGATTTGGAGTCCCTTGTAACAAACAGCTTGGTACAGCTGGATACAATTGATCCAAACTCAATTATTAGCATATTGGTTTCATAACGTGGTTATCTAGAGCAGAACTGTTTAGAAATGTTTGTTATTAAGCCTGGTGATATCTCTTTGTTTTTCTCTACATCTGTTATTTTGCTTTCTTTTCACAGTGATCTCCTTTCTGACTTTTTTGCTAAGGTTTCATCTTAATTATTATTACATTATGCATAATTGGAAAATACCATGCATATCCCTTTTCTGACTACTTGAACTTGTGCGACTGTGATGGATGACTCTCCTTCGGTGTGTCAAAAACTCAATTTGAATTTTATTTGGGAGAAAAAGAAGAACTTTTGGGCCTTCAATTGTCACAATTAGGATTGGTGGTGAGCAAAGATTGCGGGTGAAGAGCACAGTAGTGCTACTGACCCCTGGGGAGCGAAGTCATGCTGCGAAAGCTTGCAAATGTTGGAAAAAATGACAAGAATTCTCCCGGTCAGGCTCCTGACCTGATGGGCTGCCTGTGGCCTTAGACACTGTGAACTTTTCCACTGCTGAAAAACTGCTGGGTCATTGCAGTAGAGCGGTGATATTCATCAACACTAATGTCAAGTTAGTTTGAAACAGGCTTTATACTTAGTTGAAGTTTTGGACACATTCCTGCTATACTTCTCATCTCTTTATGGGCGCAGAGTGCTCATAAAGGCCGCGTGGTTTTATTTGTTTTTATGGTGCGAGATGTGGAAATTGTTGATTGTAGCTTGTGCTGTCTCTCTGACAGATAGGTGCACAAATAAACAGTCATATTCTGTGAGGTAGTGCTTTAATGTGACCGTTCTACACGGGCGTACACACATATACACACACACACAAAGGTGGGCCTTTTTAGCTTTGTGGCAATGATTATATTTGCTGTGACACTCTCGTTACACAAATCAGAACTAACAACTGCAAACATGACCTGAGGTTCGGAATGGCAGGTGTTGCATGAGCTGTTACCTCCGCCATTCGAATGTGACCTCTAACCAAGTAAACATACTAAATACAGACAGAGCTGGAGACGCCCTGGTGGCTCTCGCCTCCTCCCCTTAAATGAATCGCTGCAGCACGATGTGCAGGCTGAACAGTTGCAGAATTGGAGTCATAGCTGAGATGAAAAGGCTGTGCCGCTGAACAACAAATGTGACCACATCCAGTTTGACTTCTTCTCTGAGTCACTTTAATGAGTTGCTGCTGAAATGTTGCCTGCTATCAGCAGAGGTGACAGTAAGTCCTTTCCATCAAAAGTGGATCTCTGTATGAATTTTCCCATCACTAAAATCCCCAGCTATTTGAGATGGATGCTGTACTTGTCGGCGTGCTTTTTTAGCCATTTTAGAGTTTAGGTAGTGGTGGTGCAGTGTGTTGTGAGGATAATGTTAATATCTTCTGCTGGAAAGATGGGAGTGTTGGAGAAGTGAAGGTGGAGTTTGGACTGAAAGTCCTCTGAGTGCTTTTGATCTCACGACTGACAGGGCTGTGAGAGACTTACAAGGTCATAGAGCTTACTAGCATTGCTGTGCCTTGTCACGGTCTTCTGAAAAACAATACCCCTGGTTGAGTATCAAATGCATACCAATAACAGGTTTGGCCCACCTTAATGGCCTTATAATATTAATACAGTTTCTTGCGTAGAGGGGAAGAAAGTGATTAAAGGGAAGGTGACAGCTGCCAGAAGGGGATCGAGCAATTTTCATAGGGAGTAGTGACGTGGGTTGCAAGACAAAGCCTCACTCAATTTACTCGCTGTGGTTCTCTCTTAGATTCCCCTGAGATAGTGCAGCTGAGCATTGAGAGAGAGAGAGGCAAAAGTGGTTGGTAAATTCAGGTTGCGTAGGAGAATGAGAATTGAAATGCCAACCAGGGACAGCTCGAGACCTTAAAACCAGTCATGTTGCTCACATTTTAGTGTCTTGCTTGTGGCCATTTCTGTCACTGAAAGTCTCTACTTGATAAATTCCACTTAGCAGGCTTTTTCACCTGTGTTATATTTTAATTTTGAGTTCAAGTTACATTTAATTCAAATTAATTCAACATTCAATTAAAAAATGAATACAAGAATGTGAAGTCAGCAGTGTTGAATGTTGAAACATTTGACATGTGTTGTTTCACACTGTGCTGATCAAGATTAGAAGAATTGCAGCAAGTACTTCATATGGCCTTCACACTGCATTTTTCTAACTGTTAGTATCATACGCAGTAGAAAAGATGGACGTGTACTATTGCATTACCCAGTGGTTTGTAAAGTCCTGTTACAAAGCCACAGTTTGATTATTTTCACCTCAACCATCTTGATATATAGAAACCAGATGTGATGAGTGCGGGGTGGATCTGACTGTGAAACTTCACAGTTATTGATTTGTGACTGGCAAGTGACGAGCAGAGATGGGCAGTAACACATTAATGTAATCCGATTACTTTTTTCAAGTAACGAGTAAAGTAAGGGATTACTATTGCAAAAACGGTAATTAGATTACTGTTACTTTCCCGTAAGCACGCTGCGTTATTGTGTTACTAAAACTGTGATTTTTTTTTTTGCGAGAATGTCTCATGACAGTGACGTAAGCGAGTGCGACGTTCGTGACAACAGCTGTGTGCAGATCAACAGTGGATAATATATCGAGTGTGGGAGAGAGTATGAGCGTGCAGCGTTTAAAGCGTGGAAGTACTGACCTTACTTTGAGTTTGATTCCATAAAAAGTGACAAAAACATTAGCGTCCATTGTGCGTGGGAAGAAAACTTCTTTTTACAGCGAAAACCCCCCCAAAACTTCCAAGCAAGCACCGAGTGCGCTATGACGTAATGGGGAATTCAGAGAAACTTGCGGATTCTTCAACTGACCGCGGCACACCTGCACCAGGGCAAACCTCCGCCTACCCCGCTCCAGCTTTACAGGTGAAAATAGAGCAACAGGACCGCTAGTGTTTGATTTTATTTATTTTCTGCTGTGTTTTACTTGCAAAAGAGACTTTTCCGTTTGATTACATTTTGTATGATGGATTATGCAGAACTGGGCTGAAAAATCTATTGCTTTATCACCTATTCAGGTTGTAAATCGTGTTTTTAAAAGTAATTAATTACTTTTGAAAATGAGTAATCAGTAAAGTAACGGGATTACTTTTTTGGGGAAGTAATTAGTTACTGATTACTTTTTCAAGTAACTTGACCGACACTGGTGACTAGTCCACCAGCATGAACAGATAAGCCTCTTATGACTTATGAAGTCTGATTTTTTCTTTTAGAATGTAATGTGTGCTTTCACCTGCTGTTTCTAGTATTTGATGGACAAATAAAATCTCATACTTGAGTTATTGAAACTCTAGTCAACAAAACAGGTTAATAATTATTTTAAAAAACAGTGATTCTTCTTTAGATCTAATGAAAACCTCTTTGGAGATCGCCATTATGCATGAAAAACCCAGTCAAAGGAAAACAACAGAACCATTTCTGTTTTGTTTGTGTGTTCAAGGCTTTATTTTCAAAGGAGATTTTGTACCAATCTGTATTGTTACTCTGTAGCCACTGATTTGTGCAATCAACATCTACTTCACAAGCTACTCTACTTTTTCTGCTAAGTAGAGAAAAAAATGGGCAAGAAACGAGTACAAATGCAAGAAATTGAGGAGTGGATGTAACATAAATATATTTAAAAAATTCTGTGTTAAAACATACACATATGCTGTAGATGTCGATGCAACTACAACTACAACTGCTGTAATTTTGTGTTCAAAATCACATTTTTAAATGCCAGATGATTGACAAGCAGTGTTGTTAGTTAGCGCCTACCTTACTTTTTGTAAGTGCGGTGATGCAATGCAGGTTTTTTTTGTTTTTGTTTTTAATTTTGTACAGGGAACCTATAATGACAAAAGTTTCAATCATATACATGTTTCAAATTCCAAGAATATTTGCACCTATCAGAATAAGTCAGGCAGGTTGAGAAGCACACAGATGGCGACAAGAAACGTCTTTGCTATTACCAAGGAGAGAAAAGTCAACAGAATGATTTTGAGATGGTATCAGCGATGACAGAAAAAAAAAGGAAAACCCAGAAACTTATCTCTATGTTAAGAAAAGCTTTACGCATTAAGAACATAGCTCAAGGGTGTCCGGGTGTGTTAGCGACTAGCAATTTCTTTCAGAGATAAAGACAGAGGAGTGCATTTTAATCAGTCCAAACATTATGAACTCAGAAATATTCTGAGGTTGAATTGATAATATGTAACATATGATTTCATCTGTTTTCACTGTAGGATAGGTGAAGCAGGTGAGGGATACTCTCTGTCAAACCCTGTGATATTTATCATCTGTTTATTTCATCTCAGTGGAAATGTGATGCTTTCAACCCGAGTGCTGTTGCTCACTGAGGGTTTATTATTTGATCAGTGAAGTTTGAGTGGACTAACCAGATTGATTTTAATGGTAAAGATTATAACTATACTGGGAGCATGTGGAGGACTAGCATTCAGTCGTTGTGCAGAAGTTCGATGTCAGTCCTGCTGCATCCAGATCTGATCCATTGATATTAACACAGAGTAGTTTAGAAGCTTGTGAAGCTATTAGTACATTGTCAGTGCGCATCTCGGTGTAGTTCTCTGGCCATCACCAGTAGGCGGTAGGTGAAGTGTCTTGCCCAAGGACACAACGACCGAGACTGTCCGAGCCGGGGCTCAAACCGGCAACCTTCCGGTTACAAGACGAACTGCCACCTCTTTGAGCCAAGCTTTAGTTGTTGCTTGTTGGTTTTTTTTCCGACAGCTGAGGTTATTTTTAAGGACCAGCATCACACTTAACATGTGCTCAAATGAAGACTCAAATAGAAAGTCGTATAGTTCATTTGTGCTTGCCAATTCCCAAAGGAACATTTTAGATTTTTTAATTTAATCACAGTATCACCTAAACAAGTGCGCACAATTTAGAGTCAAGTTATTTTTTTAAGCCAGGTTTATCATTTTAGTTTTGTTTAAGCCCGTTGGTATGTTTAAAAACTGCTACACTGCCTAGTAACTGTTGCTTTCTGGCTAATTGGCCAATCATACTTTTTTAAATATTTTATGAATTGGTTTAGATGAGAAAATACCTGTGATTTGTTTTTTATATGAATGGCATACATAACAAAGTGATTCGTTAGAACAAAATGAAACAACAATAAGCTTTCTAATATGAGCACAGTGTTTGCCTGTTTAGCACAAAGGAAATTGTCAAATCTGATGATTCTCTTTGGTTCATATTCACTTTATACTGACTCACCATGCTCATGTTAAAATTCATAGGACAAAGTCTTTTTAATTCTGTACTTTATGTGTCTGTAGACCACTTGGCACTGTCCACTTGGTGCATTTATTCTTGTCTTGCTGTTACAACGGTTACTAATCCCTTCATTCTAGTTATTGTAATAAAATGTTTTGTATATCCAGTTAAATAATAAAGATCAGGGCTTCAGCATTTTAGTGTATTTTCCTGTTGTCATTTTCCTCTGTATACATACTGTCATCAGTTCCCTGCTGTAAAAATAAATACACTTTTTCAGTGTTAATATTACCAAAGTCTTTGTAGATTAAGTGTGCCTGATATGTCACCACAATGTTGAAGAACCAAACTGTCAAAAAGCAAGTGGGGGACTTTTATATTCAGTGTACCAGTTGGATGAATAATAGATTTTTAACACTGTGAGCAAAATTTATGTTGTGTGGGGAAAGAGTACTTTCTTTTTTTTTTTCACCCAAAATCACCCTGAGCCTGACACTATTTATAGTGCTCACCAGACGTATTTGTCTGGTGAGCACTATAAATAAATCTTATACTACTTAATAACCATTTATGCCTCTGTCCAAAAAAGGACTTTTAGTCATTCATCATTTGTCACTGTTTATAAAGTTTCTAAGCTTGTGCTGAGATCTTAAAACAAGCTCACTGTTTTACAAACTCTTGATGTTGTTGATACTCCAAATAATAAAGTTGCGATGGGTGCATGACTGTTCTGAAGGATAAATAGTTTATAGCAGTGTTTAACTACATTCTTGTGATTTTTCACAGACGATAAAGTGGGCTTTATTCTCGGTGCTGTTGGTTCCCTCTTAGCACTCGTCACTGTGGGAATAATAATCAGTCTACAAAACAGGAAACAAAAAAGGTGAGATGCTCATGATTTGCTAAACACATGAAACAATATTTTGTGCTTATGCCACTAAAAAGTAATCATAGGACTACAAGAATATAAAAAAGGTATGGCAGTGTTAGGAGTCACAGTGCTCTTCACAGCATTAGCAGCAGTTCTGCTGCAGCTTGATTTTCTGTTTCTCTTAATTAGATTTTTTTTTATGAAAAGATGAATTCTCATTTTTTCACTGGATTCTTTTTGATTTGAGAGGTACAGTGTTGGTATCCACCAAGTTTTATTATGTTACAACAGTAAGTTTATGTTTATAGTGTGAAAAAAAGGTAAGATTACTTCATTAAAAAGTAAGAGTAAATGGAAGAGCATGTTTCTACTCTACCAGTATTCAGACTTTATTCTTGATGTCTGATTAATTAATTTGTATTGTAGTTCCTAAATATTCCTTTCTATTGTCTCCGAGTCTATTTAGAGTTCTTGATTTCTTTCTTCTTTTTCTGTGTCCAATCTGTTCTAGCGTCCGTGTTCTGTCTTCAGTGTCATCATGTTTGTTTACCTTCAGTCTCGCTAGTCTGTTATCTCTATGTTTACTCCTTCCCTGAAGCTAGTTTTGAGTCTGGAATCTGGGGCTGTGTCCCAATTCAGGGTCTGCACGCTTGAAGTACGCGCACTACGCATACTACGTACGGTGCGTACTATAAGTACGAAAAGTGCGGAAGTGAGAGGCTTGTGAAATGGGACGGTATACGCTCGTGCGCTGTTCAGGTTGCCTAGCAACCATGATACTAACCGCGAGACACGTTACATAAGCATTGTTTGACAGAAATGAAGGAGAAAAATGTTTTGTTGGTCATTCATTTTTGTCATGACATCACTTTGATTAGTTGAGTATCTGAGGCTGAGACCACGGACTGTAAAACATGATTGTTGGGCTTCATTTCTGTGCTGAACAGTCATTTAAGATTAGTTAGTAAATAACAATTAGTTAATGTTGTTCATGAGACTAAAGTCAATCTCACTGTGGCAATGTAAATATAATATGGCCAATATTATAGTATTGTCAGATTATTATGATATATTATATATATATATATTAGGGGTGCAACAATTCGTATCGATATTGAACCGTTCGATACAGTGCTTTCGGTTCGGTACGCATATGTATCGAACAATACAACATTTGTAATTTATTTGATCAACTTTCCTTCTGACGATGCTGTCTGTGTTGAGCGCTCAGTGAATCTGCGTTCGACTACTCCGCCTAGGCTGCACTGTCGAGCGCAGATCCACTGAGCGCTCAACACAGACAGCGGCTGTGTCCCAATTAAGAGACTGCACGCTTGAAGTACACATTTTAAGTGCGGTTACGTCACCGCCACGCGACGACGGCTGTCCCAATTCGAAGTGTACTTCAAATGCATACTCCAAATGCGCCGTCGATTTCCCCAAATATCAAGCGTGGTCCGGTGCACGCTTCGTCCCTGAATTGGGACACAGCCTGGGTCTCTCTGTCTGTTGGTTTCCTGTCTTATTTTGATAGTCTCTCATCCTGTGAGCACTGAGTTAAGTTCTGCTTGCCCTGTTTCATTAGTCTAATTTAGTTCACCTTCCTGATTACCTCATGTGAATATTTAAGCCCTTAGTTTCCTTCTGTCCTTGTTGTGATCTCTTCAATCTCCGTCCGGTTGCCCTCACACACCCATTCATACAACCACTTTCTTATCTGTGCTTTTTCTGCCTAACATTTGCATATATTCATACTGTGATGGATCTGTTGGAGAGCAACTTGTGGTTAGTATTTTGCCAAAGGATATTTAGTATGCAGACGTGGATAGAATCACCGTGACCTGTGCTACCTGCTGAGGTACAGCCACTTCTCAGGCATGCAGCATGTCCCCTTTATCACCACATCATGGGACCAGACGGCATTGTTGTTTCATAAATACACGGGATAATAATTTATTTTTTTCTGTCAAGGTTGCACAATAATTGTGTCCACTGTATTTTACCAACTGAATACTTTAAATTTGCACTTGCAGTAGATTTAATATAGCCTGAGCCTGAGACCCTGCATTCTCAAATGGGGCTTTTGGTTTTTCAACACCTTGTAGTTGATTGTGCTCTATAGTGTTTTATATTTGTTAAGCCATGTAAGGAAATTCTGACTTTCTGTCCTAAGAGAAAGCTTGGTTTGTATACTTATCAGATCCAAGTAATCACAAGCTGACAGCAGAAAGCAAAACTTGGCTCTCAGGATGATAATGCAGAGAAAACACTGCAGCTGATCAGTAAGATAAAATTACATTAATAGCAGATAACATACAGAATACATGCATGCATGTCTAAAAACTATGGTTATCTCTGATCTGTGTCTCTCTTTCTGTGTGAAGCAGCAATGCCAAGGTCTCCTCAGGTCAGGCACACTGTGAATTAAGACATAACTATTGCCTTGTTTTTGTTTGGTAGGCCTCCAGCCATAGCCACCCATATATCTTTCACTCAGTCTTTGATGAGATTATATGTTTGAAGTTGGAAGTTCTTGTCATCTTGTGCAAACTGGTACATAGCTAGAGGTCCTCTTTCCCTCTCATTTCCTCCCAAGTCACCTTTTTGCTGTGCTAGCAGAGACATACAGATGCAATGAATCCCACCTGCTTATTTGATATTCAGCATGTCCCAGCCTCCTAAACGTTACTCATAAATTTTCTTTCTGATCTGATCAAACCCATATACCCTGCAGAATCATGCAGTCCAGAGAAACAAGAGGCTAATAGTAGTGCTTGCTCCTGGGCATATACAAGCAAATTAAAGGCCTGTTTTATGGCCTCGTAGATTTCATTTGGGCTTTCCCCCACTATAACTATGGCAAGGGAGGGGAAAAAAGATGGATATTGGGAGTCAAGAGCCGCCTCCCGCTTCCAGCATCACTTGGGGCAGCGACTTGATGAAACTACTAGGTTTATAAGTCATAAGGGCAGGGAGCGCGCACACCTGCCCTCTCTTCTTGAAGTCTTGATCATAGGAGGCCAGGTGCAAAAAGATATGATGAGTGTCAAAAGGTCTGCAGATGTGAGTCAGGTGATCTCACACATACAGCATGCTGGTACACATACTGCAATTGGAGACCTAAGGTGCATACACACTAGAAAAAATACAAGTACGCTTTGAAAATTATGCAAACTTAAATTGATTGGTTAGAATTCCTTTTTATTGAAAAGAGCGGAATTTTACATGATGTACAAAATACTGAGCCAAAGTAACTGACCATGGCTTAATTTATCCATCAGTAGAGAGTTTTCTCACTGAAAACAATTAATCACTACAAGTCTCATCCATGGTGGCCTGTTGTTATAGCCAAGCCATAACACTGTTCTTTACCACACAAACATTAAAAACCACATCACATATCCAGCACGCTCACACTATTAAATTAGTGATTTGAAGTTAAACATTAACAGTCCTATGGGTCTTAGCACTCACCCATGTGGAACTGTCAAAATAGTCAAGTATATGTTATTAAACAACTAATTCTCAAAAAAGCGCGGAAAACTTTTAAGTAAATCAAATTATAAAACTAATAGAAATTAGGTTTAATTAAACATTTAATTTAAGGACACAGATTGTTTGTTTTATAGCAAATACTACTAATAATATAAAGTTTTTCCATATACAGTAGCCCAAGTGTGTTGAGACACCTTATACATTCACATGCATGAAAAGTCTCCTACGGACAAGTGCAGACACATCGATTCCTCTTCAACATCTGAAGCATATCAGGATGGAAGTAGCTGGGGTCTTACCGTATTTCAGATCATGTCTGGGTTGTGTGTCTGGAGGAAAGAAGCAGTGAAACTACACAGCTCAGTGTGTGCATGAGGCTATGTGTGTTTGTGTATACAAAGCTCGCAGAGCTCCTGAGCCTCTGTTCCATGTGTCTTAGACCTGCAGGGGTACTTTCCACATCTAGGGTTACTTTGCAGGTTTCAACAGGTTGACTGGCAGCTCACCACAGTAGTAGGAAAGTCATTACACCATATGATGTGAGTCTGTGTTTGTGTGTCTGTGTGTGTGTGTACTGTGATGTCTTCTCCACTTCTGCTTTATGACACATCAAAAAGGTAGAGGGGTGTTTGTCTGAATGTGGAAAAGGGTTCAGAATAGATTTAAGGATTGATGTGGGAAGCACATTTAGAAAAGAGAAGTAAACCGTCTCAACACCAAATGGTAGGAAACTCTGGTGTCTCACTTATGCGTCTGAAAATATGACTTAAAAATAGCTCTGAATTTGGGAGGTTTCTTCTCTGCTTCTCATCATGAAATTTTAATCACAATCCAAATGTTGACATATCTAAAATGACTGTCAGTATCCCATTAGGTGCACCTTGCTACTATCTGGCCTTTAAGTCTGACATCATTAGCCGTTTCTGGGTCCAAACTCCTCTTCAGGTCCCAAAGTCAAACGAACACTGCCACATGTCTGAGAGTTACAAACTGTATAAATTCTTTCACCTTTAATAAAATGATCAGTGTGGCTGCTCTACCAGGTGTAACAATGAAGTTTAAAATCCAGGCATCCATGAAAACAGAATTTATTCAATTTAACAGAGTTAGAAGTTAGCAGGAAGTTAGCTCGCTAGTTTCCACCTCAACATAATATACCACGTTCTGACTGAGAGATTTCTGAAAAATTAAGACGTACAGCTCTGCTATGCTATCACTGCCGGCATAAATGAAGACAAAACTAAACAGCAGTGACGTTTGTAGGATTACTGAAGTTGGGCTAGCTGGTATATAATGATGTGCTACGTGGTGGCTAGCTACACAGCTGTGTTAGCATAATATAAACACATTAGCACAGTGAAGCTGGAGGATGAATGCTAACTTTTTTCCACTCGATAAAAGTTAGGGACAAATGGAACTGCATGGCAGGATGCTGTAAATGGACCAAACTTCAGTCAGGAGAACAACTGAGATAATCCATCCACAATACGAAGTTAGTCATTAATATACTGCTGCATGGGCTGCGCTGTAGTTACATCGTAAGGTTTTAAAGACTGAGCTTTAAAATGAATAGTGGTAATAAAAACCGAGAGAGGCCGACAGTGATCACTGACTTTTTTAGGGACTTGTTCAGATTAAATATAACAAGATACAAAGCATTAAAACATGTTAAAAACACAGCAGCCTCAATAAATGCAGAGTAGTTTGGATCCAGAAGCATATGTCATCACCGAATTGTGTCAGGACTGCCATATTTTCTGTGGCATAATTAAACAAGGAGTTGGAAACATTTATTTGAGATTTTGCTGTAAATTGACATCATACTATCACACAGTTGGTGCAGATTTGTCAGCTATGCAAATCTCTTGCTCCAGCACATCTCAAAGGTTTGACTGAGATCAGTTGACCTTGGAAGTCATTTAAGTTCAGTGAACTCACTGTCATGTTTAAGAAACCAGTTTGAGATTATTTCAGCTTGGTTCGTGACATGTTACGTATGATGGAAGCAGCCATTACAAATGTGTCCCTGAAGGGATGGACACAGTCAGGAACAATACTCGGGTAGGCTGTGGCATTTAAACAATGCTCAGCTGGTACTAAGGGTCCCATTATAATTGCTGTGCAGTGCCTCACACATCACACCATAAACCAAAGTTGATGTCAAACTGCTTGTCGCTAGCTGCCAATTTAGAAGGTCTTGCACCCCTGGATTGTGGTAACCCCTGCGTTGTGCAACCACAGCAGGTATACTGGGCCTTAAGAGGCCCGAAGTATGCCAAGAAATGTATGCCAAGGTCTCTCACACCACTACACAACTACTGCTACTAGTGTGAACTATTGATACAAGGCAAGATGGATCCATGCTTTCATGTTTTTCACACAAGATTTTCACCCTACTGTCTGAATGTTGCAGCAGACCATGCACTTTTCCAATCTTCTATTTTCCAGTTTTGGTAAGCCTGTATAAAGTTAAGCCTCAGCTTCCTGTCTGAATCTGACAGCAATGGCACTCGGTGTGGTCTTCTGCTGCTGTAGCCCATCTTCTTTAAAGTTCCAAATGTTGTGCATTCAGAGATGCTCTTCTGCATCCTTTGATTGAAAAGAGTAGTTATTTGAGTTGCTGTTGTCTTTCTGTCATTTTGGAAGCTCCATTGTTCTGATGCTCGGCTTAAATTTCAGCAGGTCATGACTAAACACACTAAGTTGTTGCTGAAAAGATATTTGCAGTTTATCACGTGTACCTAACAAAGTGAAGGGTGAGTGTTTGTGTTCTTTTAGATTACAAAAAAATTGCTCAGATATTGCCAGCGCAGATGCTGAAATAACTTACTGATCTAACCCTGAATAACTACCGAAGTATGAATGATGATCTGTGAATAGGACTTAAAGGATGGGTTACTATTTTATCAGATCTCCCTTAAAACAATACTCATCCACTCAACATCCACGTTTTTAAAACTAGGTTTAATCTTTCTGTTCTTCAGTAAACAGTTCTTTCGTAATGCCCTTCCAGTCATTGTAGGATCAAATCCAGTCTTTTTAGTACATGTTTCCTTCTTTTCATCAAGTTCAAATGATCCCAATGAGCCCTAAGGTCAAAAACCACCTAATGCTTTACTACTGTAGTTTATGTACCACAGAAGGCATAGTACAGTTTCCTTTCAACATTTATTTCCTTGTTTTGCAAGTTTTATAAAAGCTGCTTAATAAAACACCGTCAATAAGAGCAATAAAATGCTTTTATTATGAGCCGAGTTGAAAATAATGCTTGCCCTGCTGCAAGGTCACCACACAATTTACTCGCAGTTAGTTTTGATTAAACAAGTGTTCTCTATTACTTCTACTACTCCCATGAAGCTGCAGGAGAAACAGTCTGGAGGGCAATGTTTTTCCCCCCCACAGTAACTTTGGAAAGATGACAATGATCATCTTTGAAATAACAACACACCCAAAAGGGATTTAGGATGAAAATGTGTGTTTTTCTTGTTTGTTGGTTGCTTTTCAGGTCTCACTGTTTAATTTTTTTTTAACAGTTTGTTCAGTGACTACCTCTTTTATCTGTATTTCCAGAGAAAGGAAAGACAAACCAATCCAGATGGTGAACCAACAGCAGCCTTGCTAAACTCTCAAAGTCCTTTTGAATTATGGATCAACAATATCAGCAATGGCCACAAATATGTTCAGAGCTGAGCATTTGGAAACCAACACACACAGTCGCACTACAGAATAGGACGGCGCTCTTCTCTTGACCTGTTGACCTTATCAAGAAAACCTCAGGGGTTAGGCTTTCAGTCTGTTGTTTGGCCTCGTGTTTTTCTTCTTGTTTAGGTTGGAAAACCTCCAGGTTGTGGTAAATGGTGCATGGGGTGACGATTGAGGGAACTGAAGAAAAGGAAAAATGCCATGATTGTTTTTATATCCCAGTTTTGCATGACTGAACGCCCGATCTTTGCTAGAGAGAGAGAACTGTGTAAATACTACATGGACATATCATCATTACAATCAACACTCCCTTCTCCCGTTCAGTTTAAAATAGGACCAGATGTGTTCAGACTCATGTCAAATGTGAAGTGAACCTGACCAGTTTTTGGTTGAAAAACTTTGAACTCTGTTCAGCCTACGTGTGGGCTCGTAGCCTTCAGTCAAACGAAGGGCTTTGCTGAGTGACTGAGCCAGAGAAATCCGCAAATGTTACATAAAGGTCAACTTTTTGCACTCTGTCAACACTTGCTTTCTGAATCTTTGTGTACACGGAAGACATTTGCCTTCAATGCTTTAAGAAGCTCTGTGAATTGTGGTTAATGTTTTTGAAATGTTGCCTTTAAACTAAACTAAAACCTTACCATATTTTAACCGTAAAGTGAAAATAATGCAAAGAAAGAAGCTTATTTTTATGCCAAATCCTTTAATGTGAACTTCTCCCACTGGAAATCTTTGAACTACATTATATATCTGTATTTGAAAACAATGATCGATTATCTATAACTCACATAAAAAATCAATAAATCTAATGTTGTCCCATGGTTTTCTAGTTGTTTCTCCTTTATATGTGTACACTACTGTTTAGAGCTCAGAAATAAAAGAATCATCCATATTCACCCCAGCAGCATGCCTCATCGGACAGACCGTCATCTCATGTTACCCCACGGTCTTCTCCTCCACTTTGAACCTGACTGGCTTCTCCTTTTCCAAAACAAAGCCCTTGGGGGGGGTAAAAGGAAACACAGTGACAGGGTCCCCTGTGGCTGATCTCTGCGAGTGATAGGTGGGGGTCCAGCTGGGGTAGAAGAAGGGTTTCTGTTGAAGGCTAATTGAAATAACCTGTCCTTCTGCACATGGAAGGCTTTGAAGTTTTTGCTGCATGTGAACGCTGTTTCCCGAATAGCAGTTGTGCAATGATGTATCTATTACTAGCTCCTGCAAACCCTGGCTATTACCGCTCTGCTATCCCTGAAGGACCCTATCGTTTTTCACATAAAGTCACATTAATGTTTCCTAAAAGCATAAATAAGTACACATGTTCCAACTTCCTCGACTTTGTTACCTGGTAACAGGTCCTGATACTTTTACAAAGGTCAAGTAAACCTCCCAGTGTGTCGATGTCTGGGGTCTTTCTGCACTATCAGCTCGGATTTGACTCACTTGCTGTATAATCTCCTAACTGGGTGCAAATTTCCCTCCTTTCATGTGTCAGTCAGTGCTTACAAGAGAGGCAATGGAGCAAGCCTGTTTGCAGAGTCAGATGCTGATTAATTGCGTATGGATGAAAGTAGAGGTTTTTCATCTCAGTGGGGGCCTGTTCTAACCCTCAGTGTTTACAGTCGCTTAACATCTCAATAACCCGCCGTAATTAGTTCAATCATATTCAAACACAAGTAAATGCTAATGCACTCTGTGCAAGCTTGTTGCTTTCACGTGGGACTTTTCCCATTTCTCAGATCTGCTCTACATCCCTAGATTATGAAGAAAGACTTCTGAAGTGGCTTTTGGATGAGGCTTTTGTTTTGGGTGTGCTTTTTGTTTCATGTCAACTGCAGCTTTGCAGGTGTGCTTTGTCCCTTAACTTCTAATGCCTCGTAGCTGAACAGCACCTTCTGATGTTCTCCTAATTTTAAGGCGTACGTTGAAATAAAGATTGATTTTGGGATTAAGGTGTTTGCCCAAACACAGAGTTTTGTCACTGGCAACGTGACCACTTTACGTCGAAAAGAAGATTTTGGAAAAGTCGTCTAATCCTAAGATGGATAAAAACAAAAGCTTTGCTTTTTATATTGCAGTTATACTATATTTTTACATTGTCTTTTTACAAACATGACAAAATCCTAAAACCAACAGGCAATTAACAGACTAATTAAAAATCATCTTACTATCAGTAATTTACTTGCATCTGGATGTAGCACAACCACACAAAAGCTTGAGGTCAATTGGAAAGGCCCGTGATTTTGAAGGAATTATTCTTGTTTTTATGTAATATATTTAATATATTATAATTATAATTATAATAAAAATATATCAGAAATGTTGTAAATGCCAAAACTGTATAATGGGGTCTATAGTTTCAGGCCTCTGTGAAGTAGTTGATTCTCAAATCTAGAGAATAAAGTCCCAGTTTTGTTTATCAGTTGTGCACCAGTGCCTCCCACTTCTATTGCTATTCTGGTTGGAACCAGTTTGTGCTGTTTTATGGAAGGTGTAGTATACACAGTTGTAAGAAGTCTTTTTTTGGACAGTTTTCCACATGAAATAGCATCCCCTTTTTTGGCCCCCATATGAAGAGTATATACAGTATATCAGCGATCCCCAACCTTATTTGCGCCACGGACCGGTTTGTGCCCGACAATATTTTCATGGACCGGCCTTTAAGGAGTCGCAGATAAATATAACAAAATAAAACTAGTACCGGTACCAAAAAAAAGACGATTTATTCATAACACACGTGAAAAGACCCAGGAAAACTGAGTTAACAAAAAAAATGCTAACAAAATAACGCTAAAAACCGATAAAAACCCAGAAAACCATACATTTCACACCCGAGTCTCTACTCTCGTGGCCCGGTACCAAATGACTCATGAACCGGTACCGGTCCGTGGCCTGGGGGTTGGGGACCGCTGCAGTATATGACTATATACTTTCATATAACTATATATAAATGTATAATGTTCTGTACAGTGGGTGTCACTGCCCTGAGTGCTCTGATTACCACAGGGACCACTGTTACCTTCAGCCTCCACATCTTCTCCAGCTCTTCTCTTAGTCTTTGGTATTTCTTGAGCTTTCCATGTTCGTTCTTCCCGATGTTGCTATCACTTGGTATAGCTACATCTATCACTATGGCCATCTATGGACAGTAGTTTATGTAAAATCATTAGAATTTTTTTTCCTAATTATAATTAGAAAATAATATTATTATATGGAAAATTTTGCATTAGATATCACAATGTTCTACTTGAAAACAAAAATGGTGGTTGCTGAAAACAGGCTACTGTGCACCTCAACTGGCTGATTGGTGAGCCACAGCTGAACCCAGCATCTGTGTATATCAGACATTGGCAATTGGCAGTTGGCTGGTTCAGTTTGCACAGTGAGTTCATGTTTACTTACACATGAAGGCTTCATGTAAAGAAGCCCAAATGCCATCTCGGCAACAGTTTTATAGTCAGATGAGACAAAGATTGAGCTTTTTGGTCGCAAAGACAAGATACATGTTTGGAGGAGTAAGGTGAAGCCTCGACATCTAAGAACAGTGTACCAGCTGTCGAGCAACTGTCTTGCTCTGGTGCTGTTTTGCTGCCAGTGGTAGTGGTAAATTGTACAAAGGATATGAAATAATGAAGGAGTATTACCTCGAAATTCTTCAACTTCACCTCAAATCAGGAGCTAGATGGTTGAAATTTTGACACAATTTGGTGTTCCAGCAGGACAATCATCGCATATAAAATAGGCTGACCATAAACTCCTGGAATAATGGTCTTTTGAAAACCGCTGACGTCAACCCTATTGAAAAGATTTATGCCCTTGAAGAGTGTAAATGTCTGACCAAGACTACAAGTTGACATATTGTTAACCTTGATTTCTTAGGGATAATTTGACAAAGATTTTATACTAAATGCAATTTGTGATGTAAGGCTTGACACTTGCCATAATCCATAGCACGGGGGGGGAATAGATGAATAATTGCAAATGTTACAGCACTGCAACAAAAAAAGGGTAAACATGATGCATATCAGACATTTTATGCATAAAAGAAACCCATCTTAAAACTATATTTTAATTTTACAAAACCAGAGTACTTTTTTTTCCATAAAAATATCCCCAATTTAATGCTTCTCACGAGCTAATTTCTTTGTTATTGAACACTCTGAGTTTTATTTTCAGCTAATTTAGTTTTGTCTTGATGTTCTTTTCCAATTTCCTGTGATTTGCTTCAGTGCTGTGGGTCTAAAGATTCTTAATAAATATCCACAACGTTAATTTACTTGGATCTTAAGCAATTTTACTATCTTATCAGAGCTGTGACTACTAGAATACCAAGAAGATGGAATCCATAGTGAAGCTGACTAAAATAGCCCAAAGCTGAACCTTTAGCTTCTGTATCGACTCAAAGAGATGAGTCTTCAAACTACTCTGGACATTAACACTCAGTATAACTTTATCACTCGTAGCCCAGCTGCTATAACCCCCCACCCCCTAAATCATCTGTCATCAACATCTGAGGCTAAACTTCATCCCCTGAGGCACTATGAGCCACTCAGCAACCAGTGGCCGCTAGGACCCATGGCTCATTTTTCAGTGGAGTCAGTGCTTTTTATAATGGAGCACGTCATTCTCTCAGGCCACAGTAAAGGCAGATACCTCACTTTACTACACCACAGATGAGCGTAGCAGAGCAAAAGAGAACCAGTATGTCCGATCCACCCTTACAGATGTTTGTCGTATGCTATGCCCAGCACAGGAAGCCATTAAACAGCGAATCAATCAACGGGATCTGTGGAAACTGGGGGGGACAAACCTCCATGGAAAGCTTGTGGACGGGCACATTGCCAAGGGAGTGAGATGCACTACGCAGCTTGTACCAAATATAAATTCATTGCAGGCTCTTGGAAACACGTGTTTTCATAAATACGAAAGCTGGGTGGAAGCGATTTCCTGATTTTTGAGGGATTCAAATGCAAAGCGGTGGAAGGCATCAACAAAAGAAAAGTGCGAGGAGAAAATAAATAAAGATTGTTGGTGTTCACTTTCTATTTGCCCAGAGGGGGAAAAAAATCAAAGCTTATTCTCTTGCTAAGAAATCATTTTGGCGCTCATAATCCTCAAACAACATCCCGTTCCGATTTCTCTACTGAAAGAAATAGCAACCATTTTCAAAATAAACTTTTATGCTCAGATGTATTGTTCTCATGAATAAAGATGTACGCCCTGGTATTTCTTCATGGTGTGCAAAGATGCAGTTGTTCTTTGTGCTGCCTGTTTGTTTATGAATAAGTTCAGCCCTTGCAGATATGAATTCGTTTGTCCTGTGACCAACTTCAGTCCTTTCCCTATCTCTATTCACCAAGCATGAAAAGCTGCCTGCACACTTTGTGATTTCTTTCCATCTGTGTTGATTAGATCCTACTTACAGCCACATGGTTTAATGTTGTGTGGTCTACTCAGAACCAAACTGAGAACGACATCAGGTTTGTAGGTTTAGGTTGTTAGTTGTAAAAGAATATTAGTTTATGAGTTTAAATGAGGATTTGTACAATACTGTACTTTATCAATCTTTTCTAAGCATAGGCACACTCCAGATGACATCAAATATACAAATGGCTGCTGGACTCGTTGCTTTTCTTGTACCTGGGATCATTCTTCATGACTCTGCCACATGTTTGGGTTCCTTTTCAAGCTGAGTCAGATGATCTGATGGTTTGTGAGATGGATATTCTGCATGCTATGCTTTTCACAGTATATATTCATTCCAGGTTTCTTTTTTTGCCCATTTATATTTCTAAATCTTTGATTTATTGTCACGTGTCACTGG